TGAAATTACAAGCTGCTTAGAAATCTCAGAAGGTCCAGAGCTGTACAATCATTGAAAAAAAATGGGAGCTGTACCTCCTTTTCAAGGAGGAGAATTTTGCTCTCACTTTGGAAGTGTAAATTGAAATCTGGGGGTTTTTTGTTGTTTTGTTTGTGCTGGTATCACCTAAATCATATTATTCAGCAAATCCTAAAGGAACTGTTGTGCAGCACGAGCCAAGTGCAGCTCCTGTCTCTTTGGTGCCAAATCTGGGAATTGTGTGGGGGCTGTGCTAGTGTTCAGGAGATAAGGCTGCTGAGGTACCACAGGAGGATATTTTTATTTACAGCCACAACATCCTGCATGTTTCCAAGCAGGGCAGTTACAAGCTGCTCTCTGGTGGGTTAATGAAACAGAAACCAATAATTTGTGTTGAAAACAGACATTTGTATCACAAACCATGAACTATTTAATGCCTCAAAGACACCAATCAAGGACAGATTTGTATTCTCTAAGACAGAACAGATCCTTGCATGTGCAAAAACCACCAGTCACAGAGCTGCAATATTATTATTAATGCAGAAAATAATACTGGAATTTAACAATCCACCTAGAGACAATATCAAGGGAAAAAAGAAGAACTGAAAATATCCTGGCATGCTTTCTAATCTGAAAATAACAAACTACTCTTTAAAATTATGTACTTGGGAATAAATAATTGATTAGTATTGCTTAGCAGTAAGTGCATCTATTGCTTTGATTTCATCCACTAATACAACCTCAGTAAAAGCCTCAATTCATGGCTTCTGCTTCTGGATTTTAAAACATTTGATGTTATTTAGGTTATTAGTACAATTGTGGTTTAGGGATAAAAAAAGAAATAGGTTGTGAAATAGTGTTAGGACTACATAGAAGCTTTTGTTAATATTGCAAATAAAATGTAAACCCACATCCCTGGAAGAGAAAGACAGCCTTGATCACCCGAAAAATAAAAAATGTTATTTTGGAGCAGGTACCCTGGTAATGATATGCACAGTGTTCACTCACCCAGACCCCTGTGTTGGCTAATATATGGTAATGAAAGCACTCTGGTACAAGTTTTTGACAGCTGTGTTGGCAGGGCTGTGGATTTGCTTGTGTGTGAAACTCCTCTGAAAGAAGGCATTTCCATGTAGTTTGGGATTTGAAAAATAATTTTCCACAGAATGGTGTTATTTCATGCTTTCCTTCCAATTTGGGATGAAAATATTGTCAAAATATTGAGATTGTGCTCAGAGCTAATGAGGGAGAAGGTTGTTCCCTGTTTGCTTGTTTATAATTCTCCTTCCAGCTGCACTTCTGAGGCTTCCCAATGCTTTTGTGTTTGCTGGAGGCACCACCTGCCCCTTCCTTCCCAAAGATGGTCCAGTAGAAGATCCCATGGAAGGTCCCCACCCAATTTTCCTGATGGGGTCGCAGGGACTGCTCTGGGTGAAACCTCTCTGTCCCAGCCCTGCAGGGTGTCACTGATGCTCCTCACTGCTCACAGCCTTCCCTGGCTGGCCTGGCCCTTGTTCCTCCACACATGCCCTCATTCCCACACCTGTTCAAAGGGTGGAATCACTCCTGGCTTTTCCTAATGCTCACAAAGTGGCAGATTTCCAGAGACAAGGGCTTTACCCAGCTCAGTGCATTCAGAGCTGCTCCTTCACTGAGTGCTGGCAGGAAGTTATCTTTTGGTGCAGTAACTTCGTGAGCTGATAATTTAAAAGTCCCTAAAATGCTTATTTTCCTAAGCTGCAATGGGCCATCTTCAGTAATGTGTAATTTTCCACAGCTGCAATTTCTAAAGTTTGAGACATAACCCATACATGCAGCTGAAATTTTAGTAGAGCTTTACTTTGTGCCTGCATTGCTCTTCATAATCCATTCAGGTTTGTGTTGAAAAGCAACGTGAGACTTCTTGGAGGAGCATAATCCAAAGCTTGGAGGGAGGGAGGGACCATCTGCGAGCTGATAATTTCCTCCTGTTTGCCTCCTCTCTTCACAGGCAGGTTGTTCCTTGGGGCTGCCCTGCAGCACCACACTCTGCATCTCTGTTTTGGGGTGGCTGGGCTTGGATGGGCTTTGGCAGAGGCTCTTCAGAACCTGGGTTTTGTTGGTGCTTTTTTAACCTGGGCAAGGAAGTCACGGGGGATTTGTTGCATCTCAGGAGTGCCACAAAGCACCTGTAAAACTGTCACACAAAGAGAGCAGCAAGTCAGCAGGAATTTCATTCATCAGGGTTTTGTAGGACAGACTTGATCTCCTCATATTTGTATTAATTAAGTCCTGAGATAGCTCTGGAACAATATGGGTGTGATAATATTTTGTATTGGAGGTTGAAATGTTTTGTAGAAAGAAAATATGTCACTGTGCCAAGAGACCTTGACCACAGCACAAGTACTACAGAGGGGAGAGAGCCATAAACAAAATTTTGGGACAGGTTACAGGCCTCTAACAGCTGTCCTGGGTTTTTATTGGTTACAAATGTCACTGACTTTGTGGCAATGCAGAGAATAGAAGGGTCTAAGTGCTGCCCAGCCTGCTTGCAGGTCTGCAGGGTCCTGAGCTGATATAAACCCTGCTGCTGTGGCACAGAGATTTTGGGGAGCTGACAGTCACTCGTGCTGGCCTGCAGTCAGGTTATGGCCATATCCCATTGCTAAAAGTGTGGTATGGATTGACCTAATTGAATTACCAATGAAACTGATGCTGGCTGGTCTGCTTTGTGTTTGAGAAGGGAAAAGATGAGAACTTGGTTTGAGCTCTCAGGAGGGCTTGGTTTGAGATCCATAACTGGAGGGATGGCAAAGCATTCTGTGTATCTGAGAGCTGAGGGAATGTGCTAAGCATGAAGGTAAGGAAACTGCCTGTAGCTGAAAAAATACCTATTTTAGGTGGTGTGCATTGTGTGCATGGCCCCCCTAAAGCTGCAGGGTCCTAAATGCTGATAACTGATCTCTCTACATTCAAGAGTCCAAAACAACATTGCTGGTAATTCTTTGTACAACACAGCTGCTAGCAACAAGCTCTGACAACTCTTGTTATCAACAGGGAAATGAAAAAAACGTGCTGGTTTTTCATCAGCAGCCTTGCTTGCTGGGGAAAATGGCTTTTTAAAAGTTGCACACAATTTTTGCATCAGCTGAGATTCCTTTTTTTTCAATGAGAAGCTGCATTTCCTCAGGATTAAAAGCTCACTTTGTAACAATCATACATTTTTCATCAGCCTCTCACCACTGAGCATTGAAATATTAAGGACCTTCCAAACTCGTGGGGAGTACTGTCTATTTTCTAGTTTTTGCTTTGCCCCCTCCCCTCATGGTCAAGCTCACGTGGCTTTTCCCAGGTACTTTCTGCAGCTGTTTAATCCCCAGAAATTTCTGTTACAGCTTGAGAGTCTCTTCAATCTGTTTAACCTTCCCCTAGTCCCTGTCTGGATGCATTTCCTCCACGTAAATGCTATTTTATCTGGCCTGTTCTCAGATTTTATCCAGCCTGATTAGAGATTTCTGAGCATTTCCCAAAGGAGGGAGGGGAGCCTGGACATAGAATTGTTTTAGGAATAGCACAGAATTAGAGGGCAATGCCAGCTGTGTGAGTTTCCAAGGCATCTCCTATAGATTTCCACAGCCTCAGGAATGCTGTTGGTGTTGAATGTGGTTTTCTGGATGACCAACATCTCCTGCCCTCACCTGCCTGGCACTTCTGGGTGGCTGCAGCATCTTCTGCTCTGAGTGCAGAGAAACCCAGACCACTGACTTCTTACTCTGCCCTGAGTATAGAACCCTGAGCACTGATTGCTGCTAAAATACCAACAGAGCAATGGAAACCACGTGGAATTTAAAACAAATCCCAAACCAAAAGCACCACAAAAACCCCTCCACAAACAAAATGAGGCATGTATGGAGCACTAGCAGTAAAAGTTTATGGTCAGCTTGAGGAGTCCAGCATGGTTAAACCCACTTTAATTTGTGTCTAGCTGCTATTTGTGTCAGCAAGCTATTTAGTAAAAAGATCAATTTAGAATTGTCTGTAGAAAACTCCTCTGCACAGTCTGTGTTGTTTTGGAGTGCTCTTTCCAGCCCATGCACACGTTGTGATCAGCCTGTGATTTCTGCATTGCCTCTCAGGATTTAAGCAGGGCTGGATGTGTTTGAGGTGAGTCAGAGTTACCCTTTGTGTGTTGGTGTGCTTGGGGATGGCAACAGCTCTCCAATGTTCCAGGTGCTTTCATGAGAGAGTTGACTCAAAAGCTAATAGTAAAGGGGAAGGGAAAGAAGGGCTCCTATCACTGAGAAGATGTCAGGGAATTGTGCAGAGAAGGAATGTCAGGGAATGGTGCACCCCCTGAGCTGTTTGTGGCAGTGAGTGGAGCTGATGGATGCTGTGGAGATGATGGATTGTGTCACGGAAACTTTCACTCCCTGGGAATTTCTCATGTCCCAGGAAAAACACCCACAGATAATTTAAGCTAGACTTGAATCTATCTTTTACCATCATCATTTGTTTTCAAGAGGGACTGAGCAATTTACTATCTGTGCTTCCAAAAATCGTTTCAAGTGGAGGGCTCAGAGAAACAAATGATCCAGCTGCTGTAGTCCCAGCAATGCACAGATCAATGCAATGTGCCTGAGCACATGGGCTGATGGAGCTGGAGCTGGCTGAAGCATTGGAAGGGCTCTGGTGCTCTCTGTTTTCCTCTGCAGATCTCTGTTCATCTTCTCTTTTATCCTCTGTCCCTGTGCAAGGGGCTACCCCAGCTCCTGCCTGTGCTGTGCTGTCCCCTGCTCCAGCTCCTCTGGCAGTGCCAGATCCTCACTGCTCCTGGCTCCCACCAGCTCTCAGGAGGGGAGAGCAGGACCAAAGAGTGGCTGAAGGATTTTTGGGGGTTAAAAGAATAAATCAGGGAGGGGAGAACTGGTGCTGTGGAGAGGAGGAGTTACTGTGGGCAATGTGCTGTGCTGGGGCAGCAAGGGCTCACATCTTCACAGGGCTGCTCATATCTGACTCACCTCAGACAATTTCTGGTGCTTCCACTCTTGCCAGAATAAGGATTTCTCCTCTTTTTTGTCAAATTGTGCAATGGAAAGGAAGGACCTATCATTTACTGTGTGCACATGCGGGGAGTTGGTCAAGTCATCCAACTTCCAAAAGCACAGATTTTTCCAATATGTTTGCTCCTTGGAGCCCTTTTTCAGAGCTTCCCTCTCATGGATTTGAGTGATGTCACTGATGCTCTGTCTATCTCCCCTTGCTATTTTTTCACTCCTTGCACACACCGAATCCAAAAGAAGGGAGGAGAGCACTTCACTGACCTGTTTGTTCAGAAACACGTAGATGATGGGGTTGTAGACAGTGCTGCTCTTGGCGAGGATGGCTGGGATGATGCTGGCTGCAGGGCTGATGAGCCCAGGCTGCCCAAAGGTGGCAATGAGTGCCACAGCTGCATAGGGCAGCCAGCAGAGGAGGAAGCACAGCACCATCACCAGCACCATGAGCAGGATGCGCTGCTCCCGGCCCCGGCACGGCCCCCGCTGCATGCTGCTCACCTGGGAGGGACAGAGACACAGGTGAGGCTTCAGCTCTGCTTCTGCTGGGAACACTGATGGGGCCTGGGAGCTCCTGGAGTGGCTGCACTAAGGGCAGGGCTGGCAGTGTCACCTGAACTGCTCTGGCTGGACAGGAGCTGCCCCGTGGGCAGGGCTGGTGTGGTTTGTACTCAGAGTGTCCCTGATGCCTTCCTGGGACTCCCTAAAAACACAGGCCAGACAGAAATAAGGGAATAAAAAGCAGTTACATTTATTGAAGAGCCTTCAGGTACATTTAGGGCAGACAAAGCCCCCCCCCAGGGGCTACACCCAAAAATGGATGGCAGGTCCCAGGTTTTCACACTTTTATAAGTTTGGTCCATTTGCACATTGGGGGTTAATCTTCCAATTACAGCCCCAGGTAATGAAGTCATTTACCCCAAGTTTGCTCCCCCCAACTCACTTTTGTTTACATTTCTCAGGGCTGAGACAGTGAGGGGTCCTTGATTCCCAGCCTGGAGAGGAATTTTCTGACCAAAATGGGAAAGCAGCAGCTCACACTGGATATGGAGTTTAGAGTTAGACACTAAAGAATTACAGGATTACAAATATATGAAAAACATAAAAGCTAAAATCCCAAGGCATCAGCAGCACGAGCAAAAGTGCTCTTCATCTACAACACCTCCTCCAGCTCACTCCAAATCCCAGCTTTTAGCAGGAGTATCCTGGGCAGGAGGCAAGGAGGAGGAATGTGCCCCAGAGGACAGCAGCTCCCAGAGCTCCCAGAACCACTGCTGAGCCCTGGCAGGAGAAACCCCCAGCAAGGATGAAATGCCCTGTACCCACAGGGAACTGGGGCAGTGAATAACAGCGGGTTGAGAGAATTCCTTCCCTGAATCCATGGCAAAAGGCAGCTCTTGAATTCAAGTGATTTACAACAGGCTCCTCCTCTGAACTTCAGGCTCACACGTTGCAAATAAATCACACTGCACATAAACACTGCTGGCCCGTGCCTCACCCTTGTTTCCTAATTTGCAGTGTGTTTTGAAAACCAGACCTTTCAGTGACTGCTGTGTAGTGCCTGCAGTAAGTGACGTGCTGCAGTAAGCATGAGGAACTAATTATTACAAGCAGTTTTCTAGGGAATCCTTCAGGATGTATTTGGGTGTCACCTTGAGACTAATTAAAAAACCTAACCAAAACTGTTCAAAAAATAGAACATATCTGTAATTGCAAGCTGAGGGAACTCAAATACCAAGTACTTTATTAATATCTTGTTAATGTGCAAATGAAATCTTTTATGACACTTGTCTGTGATTTAAAAGGAAAAAAAAATGGTATTTGCCACTAGGCAAATAAAGTTGTTAATCAAAATATTTCCATTAGTGAGAAGTGAATATTTCACTCAGAGCCACCCACAGGCATCAGTAGCTCAGATTTATTCACAGACATCTCAGACAGAAAGCTCACATTTATCATCTTACATTGTATCTCATGGAGCTGGCAAGAATTTTGTATGAATGTGTTGATTTTTGTATTTTGTAAGAATTTTGTACAGCGCATTCCCTGTGTGTGGATTTTTTGAGAGCTTGCCATGCCTTGGTATAAAACTTCACTCAGGCTGTGTGATGAAGTCCAAAGAGCTGGATTGGGGTGGGAACAAGGCTGGAGACAAGAGAGGGGCTGCATTTTGTGTTCTCAGTTTTTGGGGCTCCTGATGAGAAGCACTGAAGGGCACCAGCAGCAGCTGCCAGGGTTCTGTATCCCCACACAAACCCCCTTTTTTTTTGTGTTCCTTTGTGCCTTGCTGGGACCCTCCTGTCCCTGCCCCGTGCCAGGACACACTGGGATGGGTGCTGGGTGATGGCTGGCATGTGCAGCACCTCCAGGAAGCCAAAAGCTCCTTTTGCTTCTGTTGATTTCTATCAATTTCAGAAAAGGAAACCCAGCAACCTCTTCCTCCAGGTAAGGTCAGAGAGGACAAATGCTTTACTGGTGTCTTCTAGATGGAAACCAGGCTGGTGAGAGGCTGGGCACGGGAGGAGGGCTCTGGAGGGATTTCCCATGGAATAACCTCCAGCAGGGCTGGGGCACAGGGAGCTGTGTAATTCTTGCTCTCCACATCTCTGCAAATCCTGCTGCAGGCTGGCACGGGGCTGCACAGAGAGCAGGAACTGCTTTTGGCCACTGCCTTCAACTTAAAGCCATTGGGGACAGCTGCACGTTCCACCTGAGACATGCTCCCTTCTCAGGTAAACTCTACCACGTATCACTCTCTTAACTTTTCAAGTGTTTTGGCCTTTCCTAAAAAAAAAAAGAGAAAAGCTTGCAGTTTTCAGACTGCTGATACCAGGGAATTCTTCACGGGTAAGCAAGGAAAGGTTTCAATTTCCTTGCCAGCAGCAGGAAATTATTATTTTCATCCTATGAGGCAGCGTGTTTGAATATCCTCCCACTGCTGTAACTCTCCTTGGAGCATTTTTGCTTTCAACTACAAGGCTCCCCTGGTCAGTCAGGGAAAGCTGAGATACTCATATTTGGCACATCTACAGAAAACTTCTGCTAAACTAAATCAAACCCAGCAACCTTGAAATGTTGCTCAGCCACCAGCAGATGGTGGCCTGGCTGTGCCATGTAACTGTGGGCTGTGCCTGGCATCAGATCCCCCTCTGGAGGTGGACAAAGCAAAGAGCTGGGTGAAAACGATTCTGATGAATGATGCTGTGGCCTCTTAGTTTAATTCTGTCTTGATAACTTCCAGGAGAGCTGAGAGCACAAGTCTGGCCCATCTTGCCTTTGGTTGCTGGCCCGTGGAGATTGGAAAGTCAGCTCAGGCTGTTCCTGGCTCAGGGGTAACAGCAGCAATGCCACTGCAGGAGTTTAGCACAGGGGTGCCCTGTCCTTTGCTTCTGCTTTGCTCAAAAATCTAAACCTCAATCTGCTGTGCAAGAGATTTGTTTTAAAAAATCTCACTGTTTCTGTAGGTTTTGGTATAGAAAACAGCCATGAAAAAGGTGCTTTTATAGCTTTCATATTTTCTTCACTGGAAATTGAGTCTCTGTTTCTTCTAAAACGATGTTTTCAGTTTCCTAAAAGTTATTTTGCCTCTGTATCATGCCTTCTATATGTAGAATGTGTAGCCCAGTGTCCTGAGTTAGCAGGACTGGGGAGCTGGAAGCCCTGGCCCCATCTTGCTCTTCCAATGTTTTCTTCTCTTGCTTCCCATGGGTGTTGATTGTTTTACTGGCTAAGTTTCTTTGTGTTTTCTCCTGCAGAGAAGCACCTCAAAGCGGCGATTCAACCTGCAGAAATGATTAATTTGCCTTTTTTTAAATTTCACTGACCATAATTGGGATTGTACACAACCATTCTCCCAGAACAGGAGCAGAAATGCTCACAAATTGTGTTTGTGTGCTGTGGCATGGGATGCCACAACCAGAAGGACATGGATGAGTGACTAATGCAACAAACAATAAGGACAGGTTTAAGCAGAGGTCACTGTGGGCACAGCAAATTCCTGGCTGATATTGCTGACACTGTGCAGAAAGAACAGAGTCATCACTTTAGTAGGAAAGTAAAAAATGTGTTTTCAGCACTGGGTATGGAAATGGCTCAGTCACATCCAGGCCTGGAGAGCACAGCTGAGCCAGCTGGGAGGTTCAGGCTCCTGAATCTCCAGGGTTATGAGAATCCCAGCTGAGTGACTCTGCTTTCTCTTGTCTTTTTGTGAAACCACCATACTATTTAGAGCCTGCAGAACTGACAGCAACACTCGTGGGACTAAGAGGATGGTCCCTGAGAAACGCTGGAATAAGGGAGATAAAGGGGAAAATAACCCAACTGTGCATGTGCTGGCCTGGACATGCCAGCTGAGCCCTGTGAGCAAAGCAGAGACACAAGGGCAGCACAGGCACTGCTGGGCTGTGGCAGCAGCTGAGCACCTTCAGGCATCACTGCCCTGCTCATCTGAAGGAGCCCAAGAGCTGTGAAATCAGATGTAGCCAGTCGTGCTCTGCCCCGGAGAATTCATGGCTGGGGTGCTTTGAATATGTAGTGAGGAACCAGACTGTAACCTAATGGAGATGCAATCTAACTGCACAGCCTGTGCATTGGAGGTCAGTCTGGTTTATTCTGAAGAGGATGTGAGAATTCCTGGTGGTCCCTGTCCATCAGCATATGCTCTGCTTCTAAGAATTGATAAATGTAGGTAGCTAAATGGGATGTTCAGGGGAAGCCCTCAACCCTTTGGGGTTGGGGTTAGATGATCTTTAAGGTCCCCTCAAGCCCAACACAACTCATTCTATGATTATTGAGAATTTCCTTGAAGTTCTGAAACAGTGGGCAGTCATTCATTTTAACAGTATTTCATGATCTGTCCTAATACTAATTTAAAAAAGTTTTGCTTGGAAAGGAAATAAATGGCTGACACTCCCCTAGAAAATGTTGCAAGAACAACTTTGATTTTATTTTTAGGGAAGTTTTTCTATCCCTCCTAACATTCAGACCTTTGAATTATGATTAAAAGCCTCTAAGTACAATCATAAAAGCTAGAAACTGGTTTCCTGCATTCACAGTGAAGTTTTCTTAAAAGTCCCATCCATTCAGTGCCTTGCCATGAAAATGAGAGTGGGGAAAGCAAGCTCTGTTCCATGTCTGCTTTAATGCTTGTCTGTTCCTGACACACCCGGGGCTCTTACCCCACAAAACAGCGAGGGAACAGCCTTGAGCCCAGCAGGTCAGTCTGCAGGACAGCACAGGCACAGACGGGGAGGAGCAAAGCTGGAGCCTCCAAATGATGTGAGGCAAAAAGCAGCTTCACTGCTGGCGTGTCACCTGGAAACTTCTGCCTCCCAGATTCCCAGCGTGCTGATTACCTGCACTAGACATGGAAGATTGACACATCAGGAGGCTTAGCTTCATCACTGAGCACGAAAACCTGAATTCCTTTGTCTGAGTGAAAGACAAAACCTTTTGTAGTGCCCTTTGTGCAACACCCACTAAGCCATGTGCCTGCTGGACCC